TTAAATTTTTAATCAATCTAAAAATTATTTAATAATACATATAAATATTTATAGTGCAAAATGCAATTTTAAGAGTTTAACAAAATATATATATTTTCGAACTATAAACAAGATAAGAGTATAATAGTACTAATTGAAAGAAAAAAAAAATTAACCAACTTAATAAATATAAATAACTATTTATACAATAATACAATACACTATAACGAAATCAAAGGTACAATATACAGCCAAACTAGAGGAATTCTTATCCCAAATCAAATGTTCATAACAAAATCCTTGGAAATGTCCTCAATAAATTAGTATCAATTTTTTGGACCTTTTAAACCAATTAGATAAAAATTGAAAAAGTTAAAAATTTTAAAATAATTAAACAATAATTAAAAAATGCGGGCAAGCGGTCAACGCTTCTTTGACTGCTTGATTAGCTGCCCAAGACGTAGGTGTGGTGTTTTCGCCGCACCTCACACTTCACACCTAGGCGCTCAATTTACAACATTTGTTTTATTAAGTATAGCATCTCTATTCTTAATTTCGTTGCATATATCCACGACACCCCACGCCTAAGCGCACTATTTACAAGTTACAACATTGGTTTACTAAGTGAGTATAGCATCTCTATTCTTTAATTTCGTTGCATACATACTTAAAACTTTAAATTTTAGCCCCTGTTTGGTGCACATTATCAACCCAAGAATGCTTTTTTTTTTTATGTAACGGGGAATATGTGATTGAAAAAGAAGGAAAAATTATTGATGTGATGAAAAATATTATTTTATTGAAGAATGTATAGTTGAAAGTGAGTAGAAGAATGAGAATGAAAAAAATAATGTGGCTCAAACATGGGCTTATAATGACTTGGTCTAATGATTTTCATCCAAATTCCATCAAAGCTTCAAATAGCTCGAACATAGAGTGAACAGTAATGGGAAAACGTTAAAATGCAATAGCATATTTGAGAGAGGGTAGAAATGATGGATTGGGCTTGGGTTAAAATTTTGAACGATTTAGGCTAGATTGCATTTGTGCCATCAGTTATAGCTTTTAGGCAAATTGGCATCTCTACGTCAAGTTGGTAGGAGAGTTGGATATTCCGTGTTCGAGTCGATGCTAGAGCATTCCCATGGAGTTGATGGATAATGCAAGAACATGTTTGAAATAAAGGTGGACCCAATNATAAATAAGTGACATTGTGTCGCTTTTTTCATTTTACACATTATTTTTGACTTCCTAAAAACCTTTCACATGATTTTTCAAAACATCCTTAATTTTAAGGGTATTTTTGTAAGTACCCCATTAAAAAATTGCCAAAACTCCCCACCCACCCCCCTATTGTATGTTACCTGGTAGATACAGGAATTTTGAATTCCTGTACCTGTAGCAAGGCCCAAAAAAGAATGACAAATGGCAGAAAACTCTCTAAAACCGTTTTCATTTACGATATACCTTCTACCTATTAAAAATCCCAGAAAACCCCCAATTCGAAATTTTTTGTGTGAAAAACCCACTACCGTCAGATTTTTCGTTAAAAACAGTAAAAATGTCAAAATTAAAAAGTAATAATTGCAACTTTAATATCTAAACTTTGTATTCTTTTATAAATTATACTTAAATTTTTTTATGTACCACCCACAATCCCAAACTGTTAAAACATTATTTTCACTCCACCTCATTTCATTTTCTTCCCCAAAATTTTATTATTTTATTTAATCCATTCCAAAATCCATTCACCCCAAATTCATTATTTTTTTAATTAACAATGAAAAATTATAATCACTACACGCATATACATAATTTAATAGATACAATATTCATTTCTAAATCACTCACCTCTAAGATCCCTATTAGAAATGAGAAGAAGAAATGATGAATTTGGGGTGAGAGATTTAGAAGGATTTTGGAAGGGATTAAATAAAATAATAAAGTTTTGAGGAAGAAGATGAAATGGGTTGGGTGAAAAATAAAGTTTTAAAGGTTTGAGATTGTGGGTGACATATAAAAAAAATTTAGGTTTAATTTGTAAAAGAATAAAAAGTTTGGATATTAAAATTGCAATTATTACTTTTTAATTTTGACATTTTTACTATTTTTAATGAAAAAATTGACGGAGGGGGTTTTTCGTACAAAAAGTTTCCAATATGGGGGTTTTCAATTATTTTCAATATATAGAGGATATATCTCAAATGAAAACGTTTATAGAGGATTTTCTCCTATTAATCCAAAAAAAATTACGAATTTCCTTACAAGCCTGTTAGGGTCCGTTTGATTGTAAGGGTTGAAAATTGATGGAAAGAAAATGAATTTCAGGAAAAATAATTGCCTAAAAATTATTTTGCAGAAAATTGTTAATTAAGTGTGTTTGATTGATATAATTTTCCACCCGGAAAATTTTTAAATTTTCTATTCGTTTGGCTTTATTTTACATGAAAATTGTCCATTAAAGTGATATTTTTTTCACAATTGGTTATAAAATTTGCTTCCATNTTGGTTTTATAATTTGTTTCCATTGCCAAAAAGTTTAATATATATGGAAAAATAATAGTTTCCTAAAAAATCATTTTTTTAAAATCAAAGTTTAGTGTTCGTTTGACTTTATTTTATATGAAAAT